ATGTAGGTGCTGTAATTATAGTGCGAGTGCCAAGTCGGACGAATTTTCATCCGCTTTTTTGTTTTGTCGGTTGCGCACTAATATGCCACCGTAGTAGATAGGAACGGCCTAAGATCATAGATAACCGCCCGGAATTCTTCCAATGTATAAAAATACTGGTCACTTGGGCCCTACTTATATCACATTACTGCTTGCCACCTGTGCTTTCTATTAACCGATAGCCTTTCACTGGGTTAAAGAGATTCCCAGGGAACACCCGGTCAATCTATTCTACCATTGTGCTTAAGCGACCGTTGGAAGGGTCTTTGGTGTTTTGGGTCTATCTCCAATGTCCAGCTCAGGGTCTACAGGTTCAGGGCTTTGTGATTTTGAACCCACGATCAGAGTTGCGTGAAACTCTTCTCGCTGTGGCCTAATTTAAGAGTTAGCAAAACCCCCCTGTTTTAGGTATATGAAAGATATCGTACAGCAGATATTTAAAATCGACATATCGCAGAACACAGGTCATTATGATGACTAAAATCCACAGGGCAATAGATGATTGCCAACCATATTTGTCTGGTCTACGTTAGTATTATCTCTAGGTAGTTTAATAAGATCAACCCTCGGGGACTTACAATAAGGGGCCTGAACAGCGGGCCAAACTAGGACTTGGCTCCACGCTGAGACTGCATAATATGTTGCGATAGCAATTCCAACAACCAGTGTCCTGGCCTCCGGATCTTGCGGCAATCTACGAGGCTTTAGTTGTCGTCCCAATCAATAGTCTAGGTAGGAAGTGAACTCACAGATCAGACAGCCAAGCCATGATTAGAGGCGCAGTCCCCAGTGCTAAATACGAGATAAAGTAACTTGCGTAGGCGGTAGCTAATGGTGTTGTGTCTGGATGGGAAGTCCATATGCTCATAGCAATACATGGGACAAGGCCGATAACAGCTACATTATGAGGTACATATTAGTTTCAGTGGAATCGCACGTTCAAATCCTTGGGATCTACTCACCCTGTGCTACAATCAAAGTCCATCGTGTCCTCAAGAGATCAGATAAAATAGCCCAAATCCAGACTAGATATATAATTAGCTTCGCTAAAAAGGGGTAAGAAATGTGTATATACCAAAGACGACGTTTATAGCACCACCACCAATCGGAATGGCATTAACTTGAGATGTAGACCAGACAGGTGTACCATCAGGATTTTTCAAGCTTTTCAGGAACAGATTAAAGTAGGCGTATCCCCACGGCGCCAGCACCGTCGCGATGTATAAGACTGGGATAAAGTAGGTCACCCAGTTAAAAAGAGTGCGCCTATATCAAATTAGAGCTGCTTGGTGTATTTTAAGGGTGTCAGAGATGGTTACGTACTTTGCACCCGCCCAAGTCATTTTCTTTGGTTCGGCTCGTCCGTGACGTTCCAAGCGTTCCATTGCAAGTTTGGCATGCTCCTTTTTAAACCAAAATGCCCTAGGATTGACTCGGTTTGGCAGATCTGGCAACAAAAAGAAACCTAGGACGCCCACAACCACGGTCATTATTCCGTTTATGATGAATAGCCAACGCCATCCGGCTAGGCCGTTCGCATCACGAAGAGTATCGATGATGGCAACTTGCAATGCCCCAGACATCATAGAGCCTATTGCTTGGCAGGAATGGTAGAATCCCATCCTCTTAGCGAGTTCTGAAGGCGTATACCAATGCACTATATGCGCGTTAAGGTAAGTATCTCTAGGCGTGCAGTAAGGATGAGGGAAAAAGAACAAAGGAAAAAGCTCACTAAATAATGTCATCATTCCAGGCCAAGCCGAACTCTCGCAAAGTCCGAGGAAGACACGAAGGATGTAAACTTGTTTCGCATTATGAACCAGAGCAATGAGACCTGTTATAACACCCCAACATATCTCCAATCCAGACAACCAGTAACTTGGCCGTACGTATGTCAGGATAATTTGAGATGGGATCAGCATTATACAATATGCGACACTGAAATAAGTAGTGAAGCTGCGCCAAGTTAGCTGGCTCGATCAACTTTACGTAGACGACTACTAACTTACTAGTTAAGCTCATTGCCGTTTAGTTCAAGGTCTTCTTTCATCCCTGAAACATAAGCGTTGCTAATGTTTTGCTGGTCGAGATCTTTAAATCATCAGACATCTTGCTACTCTATTATGAATTACTAGTTCGAGGCTTACATTTGATAACTGGAGCAGAATTATATGTTAGCCAATCTATATGTCATATAGAGAATCTAGTTACCAACCTTGGGACACGCATCCGAAAGTCATAAGGAAGATGTCTAGTCTTCGAACGAGATCGCGCTCCTCTGGCGTCCGCTCATGGCGCTGCGCAAATGCTAATCGATTAACATTCATATTGTATAGCCCTTAAACTTAGACATGATTTATAGAAGGAAGAAACCGAATCACCTTGCTCGACTTGGGAATCTCCTCACTGATATAGCTGTGTCTTATCTTCGGCTAACCCCGCTCATGATTGTTATGACCGGGGGGTGGTTCATGATCTAGCTACCTTAGGTACTTATCTGATATCTAGCTTAACATAGTGCGCCCTAAATCAAGAAGAGATATTATCTACCGAGTTGTAAGACTGTCTCGCAGGGTCCCTTGACAAAAGGGGTCGGGTAGATGATTCCTTTTCAGAACATTTTGAAATTTACTCCTCATCAAGCTTGATGCTTCCCGTCAATCGTCGAAACTCCGACAAGTCTATAAAATGGACTATCCACAAGCGTATCTACATTCCGCCAATACTGGTTGTATCAAAAGCGGGGCGCTTCCATTCTTCAAAGTGTACGAGCAGATATCATTTTCATCGCATCCGCCCTCCAAGTCTTCTTCGGGTTGGAGGCGGATATGTCCCGACAACAACTTGTAAAAATCGCTCCCATACGCGTGCAGATGGTACGCGAGCGAAAAAGAGTAATCCATGTAATAGCCGGGCTGAATCTCATTAATCGTTATATTCCAGTTAGGCGTTGTCGCGCCGGACGTCGGAGCGGAGCAGGTGTCCTTAGTATGTCCATACGGCGTTCTGTCGTCGAATTTCCAATGCACTGAACACTGCGCGGTGCTGTTGCTGAAAACAACATAACCACCTCCCGAGGCGTGTGGTGCAGGTCCCGCCGGTATTCTGCTAGGATTTGAGATGGTGATATTTAGACTCGTGGCATTGGTACCGTATGGGCCGACACGGGGGCTACGGTACTGAAATGAGGAGATTTCCCAAGGCTTTAGAGGGTACCACGGAGGTAAAGGAGGATCTTCCGAAAGTGCAAGATGGGACTGACACAGGAGGCCAGAAAGGGTGATGGATAACGGATTGGGGAGCTTCATTTCTTCGTGTCACTCGCTAGTTGCGATATCCAGAGATTTTCTCTTCAGGGTCGTACCAAACGTTGAGTAATGCTCAAGGGGAGAAACCTATCTATGAAGGAAAGTTATGTTAAAAGAGCTCGCAAATATATATTCGCCTTTAATTCGTGATGATGAATTACACCAGTAATATGTGTAGGTAACGTTAAAGTACAACGTAGTAACAGCATGTTCGAGGCTTTCTTGTCCATCCGAAATCATAGATAATTGATTTATATAGAACTCGTGTTAGCTATGACTTATGCCGGCTAAATAACAAAATGTTCGGGTATGCACCGACATCAACATCTCACTACGATGGGATGATATAATTGGATAATCTTACCGTTTACGAGAATATAGATTCTTTTTACGCAGCTGAATAATTCCCCTTGGCTGTTATATAAATCCCGACTTTTCTTGAGCTAATGCCGAGTATCGAGGTTACGTTACTATTGAAGGTCTGTATCACTCTGAAGTCTTTGGATACTGACTTTATTCAATAAATTACCAAAGGTTGTGGCACTGGTTGGATAAGCCTTGGCAGTACTGGTAGATAAAATTGCAAAACATAAAGACTTGGTTAAAATTCAGTATTCTCCTAAAGTACAGACAAAATAAAGTTATCAGCCCGTACTAATATCTGTTTTACAAGCCGTGGTATAATAGGTATTATTTACAAAATATCACCTGCGTGCATATATTTGGTATCTCAATCAATGTGAGGAACATCATTGGCTGGACGTTACTATTGTGGATCCCCATGCAAACAAACCCCTTTTTAGAAACCCCTTTTTACAAACACTTCTTGTTCAATTGTTTGAGACGATGATAGCTCAGCCGCATTACAAACCTTATGTAAACCACAACCGGAAGTTAATAATCACTATACCAAAGTTGCATCGTATAGAAACTGTGCATTAGTCATGATATCAAGCCGTTGCTGCTGGAATTATGTTATCATAGCCGGGCTTACATACGCCAAGCTCGGTATACCGGACTTTTCCGGAATTCAAAGAACACCGAGCTAATAATATCCGCTGTCCGAAACAACATGGCTTTGGTATTATTCATCATTTCACTCTTTTCCAAAAGTTAACAAATGCAACATATTGTTACTAGAATAGCTTAGTGAACGGGTGTAGAATATTAAGTCCATTGTTAAAACCGGCCATGTACTATCTAAGTTGTGTATATAACAAGCCTAGATGGCAACTAGAAATCGAGTTGAACAGCATCAAACAAGATACAGAAACATTAAATCAAAAACACTTAACTACTAGAAGTTTATTAAACAAACCATCCATTCAAAATGCGATCTCACGAACACCGTCTTATTGGGGCAGCTAAGAACATTCCCGTCAACCCTCAAACTCCTGTCTTTTCGTTCAGCCCTATCGTTCTGCCCTTCTCAGACCGACCCCTTGACTTGGACTTGAAAGTTACAGCCCCTGCAACTGGCGATGCTCTTCCAATAATCCTGCTCTCTCACGGCCAAGGCCGAAGCAACAACCTTAACTCCTTGGAGGGCTACACCCCTCTTGCTGAATTCTGGGCTGCACATGGGTTTGTAGTGATTCAGCCTACTCACTTATCCTCTCTATCAGTCACTGTTGAGGCACCCCCCAAAGGCAACGAGTACTATTGGAAAGACCGTGCCCAGGACCTAGTCAGAATTCTCGACGAGATTGACACTATTGAGGCAGCTGTCCCTGGACTAAAGGGGCGGTTGGATAAGACCAAGGTCGCCGTCGCGGGACACTCCCTTGGGGCATGGACAGCAAGTCTGGTTTTAGGCGCCAAGAACATCGACTCACACGACGGGACCCCCTTTGAGAAGTTCGAGAAACGCATCAAGGCCGGGGTATTACTTGCCGGCACGGGAGCCGCGGGCGAGGACCTTTCAGATACAGGGCGTCTCATGGTTCCCTTCTACGGGCCTGACTTCAGCGAGATGAAGACGCCAGCTCTTGTTGTATGTGGAGACCAAGACGTGAGCCCGCAAATAACAACTCGCGGTGCCGATTGGCATGCAGACAGCTATTACCTCTCTCCAGGTCCCAAAGACCTTTTGTGGCTCAAGGGGGGAAAGCACGGGCTTGGGGGTATAAGTGGTTGGGATTCAGGGGAGACGCAGGACGAGAGTCCCCAACTCCTGGCGGCAGTTCAGAGATTGACATTGGCATATCTGAGAAGTGCACTCTACGGGGATAACTCTTGGGACAAGGCCCGTGATGCATTGAAGCAGCTTGGTGAGCTGGGTACAGTTGAGAGTAAATGATGAGTAAAGATAAGTCGGCTCGGTTTTAACGAGTTGGTTCTAAGAACTGTCGATTCTGTACCTAGGTATCTAGGTAATCTGCAGGACTCACATCTTCATTACTACAATTGTATAGAAATCTAAGCTATCTCCTCTCTATATTAACGGCCTTTCATATCATTATAATAATGCTTTCAAGGTCTTTAATATATTTGTGTGTATTGAGTATTTTATGCTTGCTGTGCTGGGCATCTAGGCAAATAAATTGAAAGTGAATTCCTGGACTCAATGTACTGTATTTGTAAAGGCTCTCGGATAGGTCTCCCTTCCTTAGATATACGAGATGCCCCTTAGAGTGTCATTTGCGTCTTTCTTGTAAGTAGCCTCTATCTAGGCCTTGAACTCGGCGTCACTGGATTAGGTAGTCACGGACTTATTGTAGTGGTCTAGACAGTCCCACGTAATAAGTAATAGAATAATTGTCCGTGATTCATACGATCACTCGAAATACAACCTGAATCATCTTAGAAATCTAGTAGTTTATGTTCACGCATGTTTGCAACCATCCACATCTCGTGCAATTCCAAACACCTCTGACTCAGGTATTTATTCGATGTAAGTACCTATGTTTCTTGTGGTCTATGCATAATAGTAAAATAGTCACACCGTGAGAATATATAAACTCACCCATTCTGTGGTCACTTACAAAAGCTTTCACACAAAACAAAATCGCACACTTTCTTTTACTTATTTGCCTTATATCAGTTCGTATCTACTCCAACCAGTTCCAAATCCTTGTTTTATCCAAAGACGCTTCACGAACCCCTGCTCTCTTCTGCCGGTTCAGTTGCCGTCAACAACTAAATCCATCTACCAACATGGCGAAGCTCACAGATCTCCCTACAGAGTTACTACAAATGATTGCAACTGCAAGAGATGACCGCACTTCCTGGGAAATACTAGACGAGAAGGACCTAGCTAGACTATCCGTAGTCAATCGACAGCTATATAAAGCAATAAATCGCATCTTCTTCTCCTATGGTATTCGTACCGGAAGCAACCCCGCCTCTTATGCGGCACGACGTGGAAATCTTCATATTTTGAAGGCCATGGTCACATTCCGTACCGAGCCTAAATCTTGGCATAACATATTACTAGAAGCCTGTGCATACGATCACCTCAATATTGTTACCTGGATACTAGACCGCGGTACCAAACTAGAAGACCGCGGTATTACACTGGATGGCGAATCAGCAGGCGACATATTCAATTCGTGGCAGAGAGCCTATAGGGACTCGTGGATGGATAATGAGGATTGGTGGATGGATAAACTTCCCGCTCTTCAGAAAGGATGCGTCGCGTTGAAGGTTGCATTCGACAAAAGAAACCAGGATATGGTCTTACTCTTATTATCACATGGTGCCAGTCCTTTCTTCGTCACAAAAGAAGGCAAATCCATATCAGCCTTACATGAGGCCGCGCGTGCCAATATGGTCCAAGTTGTAGAGTATCTTATACAAAAAGCAGGGCTATCTGTTGATCTACCTGATTATCGCGGATTTACTCCCCTGCGTTACGCAGTGAAATATTCACAGAATCAGGACCAGGACACCGGGATGCTAAAGAAGCTGATAGAGCTTGGGGCCAATGTCGACAGTGAAGCTGGTGGTGAGCTCCCACTTACGTCGGCACTGTCGAGGGCAAAGTATAAGCATGCATCTATGTTGCTTGATGCTGGGTCGAAAGTTGTACCAGACCAGCCATGCCCAAGAGCCAGGTTCCCTATCCATGCCCTGATATACGGCTCGAAAGGGGTTAGATACAAGTGTCCGAGGCAGATTGCTATACTCCACAGGATTGTCGACGCTGGTGCCAATCTACAAAAGAAATACATGTGGGGCCATACACCATTGAGGGAGGCATTGTTAAACGGAAGCGAGAGTCTATTGTCGCATCTCCTACGTATACTTGGCGAGGAGAAACCACATCCGAATGATCTTCTGGACGTATTGGTATGGGCTTATGAGCGCGTACACCATTTTCCCAAGAAGGTGGAAGTTGTACTGAAATGGGGTGCCAGAATGGACACCACTTTAAGCAACGGGAAGACATTCCTCTACTGGGCCATCCGTAACAACAGTATCAAAACCTACTTCTTAGACAAGCTCTTAACCAAAGCGACCGATGCTATGCTTGACCGCGGTTACCTCGACGACCTTCTGGTAGAACTCACCAGCCCTGCGAGCGGGGCGATCAATTCATATTCTTTCTTACAGGTTCTCGGCGAGCATGGCGCTAGACTCAAAAGCCCCGATCACCTATATAATGTCTCCTTATATGTCATAAACACTTCTTGGGAGGTGCAGGACTGGTTAATTGCAGGGTTCGACATTTTACCGGCCGAGCAACTGCATCACCTACTTATACGTGCTATGGAAATAGCCTATAAACTACTCCCTTACGATTTACTCGACCGTATTGAGCCTAAGATTTCGGAGCTGGACCCTAAGTGGTTACATGAAGCTGCTAAATATAGCTACTTCGGAATTATCACTAGGCTCTTAAAGTACGCTAAGAGTTCCGATTTAAATGTTGTGCTAAATTCAACTACAGTGTTGGGAAAGTTAATATTCCGCGTCGACAGTTACGAATGTGCTCTTGAGGTAATGGAACACGGCGCTGACCCACTCTTGCCTACCAATCATCCAGTCTGTAATGGCGGGAAATTTCCACGGCGATATGAAATATTTCCGGGAGCATCAGCTTTCGAGATAGGATTACATGAAGGTATCCCCCTCGAAGTGATCCAGAAGATGTGGCAGAAGATTGCTCCCGAGGCCCGACCTGACCCGAGACTATTTATCCCATGTGTCTACGATGGAGGAGATAAAGAAGACTGTCACTCTGAAGTGGTAGCGTGGTTGGAACAAGTCGGTGTGAAGGATAATGGGGCAACTCAAGATGAGGGGGTGGCCCAGGAGGCTTGATAGGCATGGAAGATGCAGTGAGGGGCGCCTGGTGGCTATAGGTGTAGTATATCTGCTAATACCTCTGAGCAGAAAGGAATTGGGCCGGTACCAGAGACGCGAAGTTACCATACCGATTTACATAGAAGTAAAAGTTTGGCAAGCAAATTCTATGGGCTTCTAAAAAGACATGTGCATGTTATACTCCTTTGTCCGGAATGATTACATTATTATTGAAAGGACTGAAATACAATGGGTTGGGAAACATGTCTTTTTCTAAAATGTGAAATCATATTGGAACCCTAGTAACTCTAAACGTTTTCTATTGTATCATCTTGGATTTGAAGTGATCCGAGTCCAGAAGATTGAGTTTGGTCCCCATCGAATAGGGGGCATTATAACTCTGGCTTATTTTATCTATCGATACGAAGCAGACAATGGTATCTTCGATCACCTCAACTAAGACATTGTCTTTTTTCCTCTTTCATTACGATTGATTTTCTATAACACCCTATAATTATAGGCTTTGTTCAATAGTGCATTAATTATATACCTTTTGATGACTGGTTATTAGGGTCTATCTCCCTAGGCGATGACACTGACTGTACGATAGGTACAAGAGTGGAAACAGCGGCTGATAGAATAAGGTACACAAATAAAAGACTTTATGCTCGACACTGACTGTACGAATAGACACGATTTCGAATTATCTATACGCAACGGCGGAACAACATAATTGTATTTATAGCACGTTTCCCTTCTCAAACGAGAGAGCTGGACAGAATATGTGGTATCTAGCGTAGAAGTAACGAAGACTGCTCAACAAGGCCACGTAACGAAACCTAGACTCTTTCTCCTCTTCTCAAACTCTTATGCGCATCGTAAACCCGCGACATGCGAGCGTCGCTCTACTCTCCCCCAAGCCGTCTAATCCCCGCCAAGACGTAGCCTCCGGCGCCAATAAAATGTCGTATTCCCTCGTGCTGGGAAAAGGAGGCCAAGAAAATCGCCATCATCCGTAATAGTCGTGCGCATCATCGATTTACTAGTTGCACTTAGGCAAATCTAACCTCGTTGAACAGACTTGCCCGGACCTGAACCAGGCTCGCCAATTCCAATAAGAACTGTTGGTAGATAATAACGTTGGTGAGAATGTGTGAGACCGAAACTGTCTTGACTTCGGGCGGTGTCTCGGGCGGTGTTGGGGCAATAGATTGGTCCGCAACATCACTCTCATCTTTACTATCCTGGTCCTCTGTAGTATCTGCTTTTCCTTCGTTGTCACCTTCTTGTTCCTCCTCGACATCTGCTGTGGCATTGGCGCTCTTTAGTTTAAAGTCTAATAGAATCGGTTCGATCTTCTGCGCTGGTAAGCTTACTTGTCGGGCAAGTATCCCTTGATCGACTGCTGCAAATGCAGCAGCTTCGCTGACTATCGGACTATCGTTACCAGAATGCTGACTTCCAGGCGAGAGCGATCGTGCCAGTCCGCTTCTGGACGGATTATCATAGTTTAGAGGAAATTCTTTCGGTGGAGGTTGTATCGACTTGGGAGTTGGTGATGTAACCCCTTGTCCTCCTGATGTTCCTGATCCCGTACTCGAGCTTCGAATTGTTTCCTTTCGCCCACGTGGGCTACCTGACCGGCTGGGGCTTCCAAATTCAGACAATATCCTCTGCGCAAACCCTTCAAGTGCACTAGGCCGCTGTGGGGATGCCGCGCGGGATCCATCCTGACTTGTCTGATCTGGTATAGAAGCTCCCGTGGTAGAGGTTGGCCGAAAATTCTGATTTGGTATAACGGTATCAGCCGTTTGGAAGGCTTCACGGCGTTGCTGCAAGAGTTCCTCGAATCGCGGCACCGAACCTCGGAAGTAATCAACTTGGTCAGCAAGCGCCTCTAGAACAGTGAGAATACGTGGCAAGGCCGATGACTGCCACACCGGCCAACGACGGCACTTTTCAATATCTTTTAACTTCTCGGTATCGGCAAATGAAGGGGATTCGGGGTCTAAGGGGAGAGATGTAGATTCATCAGTATCTCCATCGTATGAATATCTTCTTGGATGTCGCATAAGCCATCCCTCGACAGATATATACCCGCATACGGCTAAATCAAGTATAGTCTCCGTGGCTGATAGGTTCATCTCGACGGGATTAATGAAAAAGGAGTCCAGAATGTCCAGGATGCTATTCCACAGAGGATCTTCTGCGCTCAGCGTGTGTCGCGGGACATCTCCAGGTGCTCCAGGCAAGGAATCCGGAATTATTGGTAACTTGGGGTTGTTTGTGGGAAGGTTCGGGGTAACCAGTTTGAGAGAACATGGGTGACCTTCTACACGCGACATACTATCTTTCAGGATGTTCTCGTATATCTCATTGAAATTGTCTTGGCCCCCAACAGACCCGGCTAGAGTAGTGAGAAACTCGACTTCTTGTTCATGAGCACCCACAGTTCTACGAGAAGTATTGGTATCGATACCTTCTGTGTGAAGAAGAGTCGTAGTCGCGTATCGGTGATGCCGCTTAAGGATCGCCGCCACGAGCTGAAGCGTAACACACACGGTCTGCTGATTCCGAGACTTCAGGCATGAGCGAATTAAATCAACTAGATTAAATAGTAGGGGTGTATAGCTAGGTTCAACTTTAGTAGCCATCATAGTGGCGAGGTCCATGGACTTTCGCTTTCGCGCAGCGCTAACCGACGGCTCGGCATCGGGCGGCGCGGCCGACTTCGCATCTGGGAGAGCTAGCAAGTAGTGAAGGACGAGGTTGATCATATCGGGATGATCTAAAGCTTCTAGTATGTGTCGAAGATAAGTTAAGACGGCCACTGACGAGCCTCCATCTACATCTGAAGACTCCAAGAGGGAAGGGTACCTTTTCGAAAAGTTAGATCAGAGATAGCAAAGGTTTATATTAGAACTTACAGTAGTTGTTGTAGGAAAATGACTTGAAAATGCTCGAGGAGAGTTGATTTCACTTCCACCGATCGACAGTGGTTGAGAACATCCTGCCAGAATAGCAGATGGGAAAGGAACGTCTCTAAATGCAGCTGAAAGTCTGGGCTGCAAGAACTAACAATCTCAAAGGTTGATGTGGGATGTTGATAATCGGACAAAGCAAGAACTGGAGGGAGGTTCTCCGGGGGATGGTCGATAACAAGCTTCCGACTCAGTTGACTATATAACGCGCCAAGTCCAGTAGCCATCAGGGTCGACAAGTCACTCTCTACGATCCACTGTTCCAGGGCAACAGAGGAAGAAGCGGCCTCGATGATGTATAACAGACCAGTCCGAGCGAAGTCACCAATTTTCCCTTCATGATGTATATAGTCCATCAATAGATAGAAAAGCGGAAAATCCTGCTTCTGAATCTTTCCGGCAAACTTCTCCCTCTGGTCCTTGGTCTTCTCGTCATTCGCATGGCTCTCGGGGTGGGATTTGAACCAAGCAGGGAGGATACCGGGATCAAGGCGGATCTTAGTGGTGATATTAAACGCCAATTCAACAACCTTGACTTCGGTGTCGGGACCTAATCGAATACTGTTGATACCCGTTATACGAACCAGGAGATTTGTTAAGCTCGCGGAAAATGCATCACTTTCGACGAAGGCTTCCTCCTCACTTTCGATGAGAGTAGCAAAAAATAGGACAGCCTCTTTAATAATCCACTCATTGTATGATGATGTCGCTATCTTGGCGATCGGAACGTAGATCTGCTTGGTAGCGGAGAAGGATACACAAGGATGAGGTAACGGGCGTCGGGATTCGTCGGCGAGTATATTGGTGAGCCCCTGGAGGCGGAGTTCAATGTTCTCGGCGGCATCTTCGTCTTGGGCGATATTTGGGCAGTTTCGCCATATTTGCTGGTGAAGGAATTAGTTTACCGAGGATTGCCGAGGGATAGAACATGAAAGAGGTTGCTAGGCTCACTAAGAGTTGGCCGTATTCCTTCTCGAAGCGTTGTCGACGTCTTATGGGATCTCGTGCGGCATCCTTGCTCGAACTCCCCGAGGACAAGCGGGTGTTTGCTATGAGGCGCGACCACTGAAGCTAGAATTAGTAATTCTCGGTCGCGAAAAGTAGGAATAGTTTATGAAATAAATATCTTGAATAACTAGTTTAGATGGGGAGGGGAGTGACTGACAAAGTCCATAGCGTCTTGAGAGGCATTTCTCTCAATTCTCAAAATACGTGTTGAGAAAAGTTGCAGTTGCAATTATCAGCATTGAGGCATTGAATCTTAAGCAGTTTCTAACGGTTAATCTACTGTGGTAGTCGCATAAATCACCCTCCAAATCCGGTGCCCAAGATGTTTCTTGATGATTAGGCAAACCGGGGTAATCCTTGTATTACTGGATTAATTAGGTCCATATTGGGTTACGCAATGGCTGGAGTGAGGCTTGATCTTTTGTGGCTTCACTCTACTACCATTAATTAAATTTGTGTAACACCAGAAACAAGGCTAATTTTGGTACCTGGGCACTCAAGCTACTTAATCTTAGGTACCTGTAACTCTATACACCTCGGTAAGAAGTCCCCACCATTACTTGCCTTAGACTGAATTTTTATGTACAATTCCACTTTTCCTCTTTTCATCACTTTGCACATACATAGTTGTAGGTAGTTGTATACCTATCCATCCGAGTCACTTCGAGTCAACATCGTTCCAATCCTGTATTAGAATCTCTTATCTCATCCTTAATTACACTCTATCCCACTAATGAGAACCCTTTATTATCGGCGGCTAGTCGCATTACGCATATGCATGGAGCCCTAAATCCCAAGATGCTATAGGGGATTATAGCTCGAGGAGCTGTCAAAGTAGTAGAATCTAGACACCTAGAGCTCTCTACCGAGTTGCAATGAGACATCTCCCGATAGCTTCCGGGGACCACTCGCATGGCAAGCATGCAAGGTTACCTGCATAAGCTCGAATCTTCATTCTATCTGAAGCTCGTGGTTCGTCTGTTGTTCTACCGGACCAGCCTCGATGGTACCACTGCCATCACCCCTGAAATAATGATTGGGGCTGAGCGATTATCACCTAGCGAATCACCACTCGGAACTCTTATGATTCATGGTCGGTATTCTATAAACGGCAAGGCATACCCGCCGAGAAGTACACCAACTTTGATAGCCTCCATTGGCCTGGAGCAATTCGGAACGGGTGTTATAGGTTTAGACTCATTGCCGTGACACACATTTAACAAAATACGATGGCCTCTTGTCATTTCTTATTCATTTGTTCAACTTTTCGGATCGAGTTGTTACTCATTTCCTTAGTTTTGTGTTTTGTATTTCGTATTTCAGCCCGTACCTATGATAGTCTTCAAGATCTGTCCGATACCTCTCCTCGACCAGCTCTCTTATTGGTCCATTGGCAGCATAGGATACTTTCTACGCACATATACAAAAAAAAATTAGAAGTCTAAAAGTGAGTCACTATGGGGTTCTTCAGTCGATCCAAGAAGAAACCAACTCTGGAGAGCTCGCCATCCAAGGTTGACCAGTTCGTACCACCAAATCCATCTCAGTCACAAGTGCCACCACAACAATGGCATCCTAACGACAACCCATATACTACTCCATCACCAAGACAGCCTGCTGGCTATCTGGCACCTCCGCAGCCATTGCCGCCGCCCCCTGGTTGGAGTAATACGCTACCTTCCGGACCAACTCCTCCCCCTCAGTACCAAAGTCAACAGCCGTATCTCCCCATCGTTGTAAACCAACACTACTACTTAAGCCCTTCGGCGAGATGGCATTCCTATGGCACGCAGATGCTTAACCAAAGTGCTGCGATGTACGACCAAATATCTAGCAGCTTCAACGATGTGATGACATTGATTGACCGGGATAAGTACATTGGGAATGAGAATGATCTATTCACGTATCAATCTCATCCGGTGCCTCCGCCTTCAGCAGAGGTACGTCAACATGCCGTCGTACATAAGGGGCCCGCGAAGAAGGGGAAGAAAGGAGCCCCAAAGGAAGTCTCCAAGGGGCAAGCGAATGCAATAACGTCGTCACTCGCTTCTCGGGGCTATTTCGCCAAGGTGGAATTATATGCAAACTCAAAGCTATCGTCGAATTTAACTCCCCTCCGCCTGTATGTGATGCAATCCAATCCCTATATCGTACCAGCACTAATATTCAACAGCCATATACCAACATATCCTCTAGTATGCCTAGCAGCGCAGTACTCGGAAAGGGTGTATGAGAATCCGCGAGGGGCAGAACGAGATGCTCACGTCGATGCTGATTGGAGAACCGGAGCTAAGGCTATGCGCATCAAGTCTGTTCCGATGGATCATATGAACACTATTGTGTTCGCCATTCGAGGAACAGCGACTTTTATGGATTGGTCTGTCAATCTGAATACTGCACCAACGGCGCCTAAAGGATTCTTGGTAAGTTATGAACGCTTAGCAAGTTCAGCACGCCCTATTAACAAGTTCCAGGACGATCCAAACAACTTCTGCCATGCAGGATTCCTGTCGGTTGCTCGAAAGATGATCTCTCCGGTAGCCGCCAGGCTCCGCCATCTTTTAGAGGAGGACCCGCGACGATGTTCATATTCGCTTCTAATCACTGGCCATTCAGCTGGGGGGGCTGTCGCGTCTCTTCTTTATGCGCATATGCTTTCGACTTCCAAAGCCGCGTCATCGGAGCTTAACAGTCTAACAGGCTGTTTTAAGAGAGTGCATTGTATCACCTTCGGCACACCTCCAGTCTCGCTATTACCATTGCAGAAACCCTCTGGTTCTGAATTCAAGAAGTTCGTGTTCCTAACTTTCGTTAACGAGGGTGACCCGGTCGCGAGGGCCGATAAAGCCTACGTGAAAAGCCTTCTTGAACTTTTTGTTGCGCCAGCTCCAGTAGAAGTCAAGGAGTCCAGCAAGCATCCTCCACCGTCGAAGAGCTCATCCCCAAAGCACGGCAAGACGCATGGCACCGGTTCTAGTACGTCTCTCATTTCGAAAACGTCCAAGGTTTCGGTGAAATCTAGCCGCTCTTCACCCCGCTCGTCCTCGAAGTCAAACAAACCGAAAGCCCCAGGTCCAATATGGGACGTTCCGCCAAGTACTCTAAGTAATGCGGGACAAATTATTATCTTGAGGTCAGGAAATTCAAACTCCAAAACTAAACGAGCGAAGACCGTCGAAGAACGGCTAAGTGAGGGTGTCGTCGCACAGGTTGCGACTGACGAGCAGTTAAGGGGCCTTATCTGGGGCGATCCTGTCTGCCATGTTATGAAATTATACATCGGCCGGGTCGAGTTGCTTGCAGTTGAGGCTGTCACTGCGAGAGGATATTGAAGTCGAGGGAGGTAGGTATATTACAGTATTGGTTTCTATGACCATGGGATGACTTGATCTAATGACTTTAACGACGTATTATGATATATCTACTTTGGCGTTATGGGATGATACCATATGGGAAGCAGTTAGGCAATCGATTCATACCAAGATTTGGTGTTGAAAACGGGTTTGATTGATTATTTGTCAAATGATATGCTCATTGAAATTCGATGCACGGCGCGCTGGAAGCGTTTTGAAACTGGAATATTACGAAATGATACATAGATAATTAGATATGGAATATAGGAATAAGAGATGACAGAGGTGCTGAGAAATGATATTATGAAGAAAGAAAAAGGAGAAAAGAAGAAGAAGAAAGCAAGATGCAGAAGGCGGATAGTGTAGAGACCTAAGTCAGTATGGGTGATGATATAGAAAGAAGATAGAGACAAATCACAGTAGGAAGAGCATACTGTAACGAGCGACTGAAGTTGGATTTTCTAAATCACTAAAACCAGGCTACTAGCAATACAATTTGGCACTCTCCTCAACATTACAGCCCAACATATCTCATTCCCCCAAAATGCTGTGCACCAGTTATGCAAGTTGTATTCGAACGAAGCTGGCATTTACAAGACGCTGCCGAGGGCAAGGCAAGGGAGACCGACGTTGAGAAGGCCCTCCTGGTTAAAAGTCAGCATCAGCGAATTAGGAATTTGGGAGTAGAATTCTAACCTGTTCCATGCCAGAGTGCTGGCAGCATGCGGGGGTCTGTTTGCACTGGCTGTTCAGGAGATCGTCAAGACCAACTACTATAAAATATGTTAGTGATGAAAGATAAGTAGATTTCACTGCTAGGGATAGACTTACCAGCAGCAACGTTCAGCTTAGAGCAGCCATCGAACAGACCAACTGTTGCATCTTCCAAGCCACCTTCAAGGAGACCAGCAAGGAGACCTTCGGCAGTGTTGATTGCATCACCGGACTGGTCGACCTTGTCACAGCAGCTCAGGTCGAGGTCAGAGCCACAGGTGTCACCAGCCTGGCCGACAGTGACATCACCGGGGACGGGAGGGATACGGGTGTTGGGAGGGCCGCCGAGCTGGGGAGCTCCGAGGGCGCCGAGGGCCATGGTAAGAGCGGCAACGATGGTGAACTGCATCTTGACTGATTTGGACGTGTCGTTGAGGATTAATTAAAGATGGAGTGAAATTGCTAAACGAAACGAGCGTTGCTGATGAGAATATGTAAACGAGTGTGTGTTGTAAGAGAGTGCGTTTTTTAAATGTTTTTGATGCTGGTGATGCTGAGAGAAGAATCGAAGAGGAACTGGTCGTCGACCGGTCTTATATATTAAAATGTTGACCGCGTGTTTTCTATGTTCCAAACTCTTTCTTTTCCGCCCTTCGGCGCCATACAGCAGTCAAGCGTCAATAATTGATGCTCTCCGCCCTGTAGAGGAATGGCCTACGATGACGATCGGCGGGTTCTGAACACTCTTGAGAATGGCTTGTCTCATATCACCAGCGCTACTGCGCGCCACCAGGAGAATTGCCCGCTACATGATCTGGCATTAGACCGCAGTTGATCTCCGACCACGATGAGCCGCAACAATCCTCATCCCGTCAATAGGCTAGGTACAATTAAGAGTCAGCTAGCATATAGTAGGGAATGGTGGAAATTGACGTGCATTACCGAGGACGCTTACTTTGGCATTCTCCTATACTATTGCGAAGGCTAGGATCCTAGGTGCCTTAGGATTAATTTGAAGCCGATCAACAACTGGGAAAGGGGGAGCCTCACACCGGACCTTGAGTTCGACCTACCGTAGGCATTTTGTTTCGGAGGTTCGTCAGGCCTCCATACACGAGCCAACGGCCGACTTCCCCTGAGATGTAAAGTCTTAACTGTTATTGTTCCACAGCATAACCCTTTTGCCAGGGCCGCTTGTGAGGGATAATAGCAACTGCCCTTCCAGTCACTTAGACCTAAGATTCCTGTCCTTAAAGAACGACTACCTCTCTCTACTTCTGCCTGTTGGTTTTGTCAATTCGCTGGATACCAGGTATACATCAACTCCTATTTACTCCATTGAACTAACCTCAGAGCTTGGGCCTTATGAGTTACCATTCTCCGCGCTCATTCGAATGAGAAATTCCAATGTCTCTCATTTGCACGAACCTACACCGGCTTTTCGGCATCTACCGAGTATATACCGGATCATTCATATGCTATGAACAGTTGACGACGCATTAAAAGACTAGAGGTAGCTAGAGCAATATGCCTAAGTTAGCTGCATTTGAACATGAACTTCTCAAGAAATCTTTCAACTGTTGAGATTCTCGAAGGGATGAGCTTTACCATACAGCTCTCCCCTCCCATACATCAAGTGACGCAGAACTGCCTACATCCCACTTGTCTCCTATGCCTTCTCTAGGGTCATTATTTCCATTATATGCATAAGTACCTAACCTATCTACCAAGGTATCGGTCTATGGTAGATGGGGCACCGCAACGATGCAGTGCCGCGCACAGCCCTGAGACATAACATGTGGCTTATTCGGTACCAAACCGACGTTGTGTGTACATGTTATCACAAAGCCACAACGGCTGCTCCTGGCAGTGTCCATTGATACTCATATATTACCAATTAACCTTATCGAGGTCACCGTTTTATGACATATAACACGTCGTCTCACATCCATGCATTGTTAGCATCGAACTCCTACCACCCTCCTGAGACCCAACCATTAGAGAACGAATTATTAGACAAATTACCTACGAAATGAATACCTCCTCAGGGGAATACGAATTGATACGTGGCATTAGAAGCTGTGTCTGAGTAGTACAATTTTTATATCATCTCTCAGGCCTCCGAGTCCATCATGTCACGTCTTAATCTATTTACGAAAGCTTCGTACGTAGACGAAGAGACATTTTGAGGCGAATTGACGGCCGCTTGGGTCAACCCTGACTTTCAACTGATGGTACCTGCGCTCATACAGTCTCCTCACGAGCACACATCCAGAACATCGGGTCTCGGCCGATTAAAATGTGCCGTCAGCAACTATACGCGTGAGCCAGTCCGTCTGCCCAATGGGTTCCGGCAGATGCCTAGGCCCACGCATCCATTAGGTACTCAATCACGGCTCGGAAGTTTCTGTGTCTGAAGGACATATTCACGGTTTACAGCATCCCTTTCTCCCGTGAGCCGAACCTCTGTGTTGTTCAATTCTACAAATTCCCCTCGGACTAGGTTACCAAATAGATACCTCTCATCAATTCAAACTCTCACCCACGCAACGTGGAACGCTACTAACGTTATTGACATCCTGCCTATTAATTATATTTGCTCGTAACACCTTGTTACCTATTCCTCGTGATGATTGACCTTGTTCATCTAGGTTTACGTTCTAATATGTTCCGCTTTTTCTGTGACTTGTCGGACGGCACCGGAAGCCTGCATCTTCAGCAGCTGCAAGGCATATCAAATTACCCCCTAAGCAACTTTCTCCTCATTAGGTCTTGATCAATATATTCAACATATATGCAAGGGACAATTTTTGTATAAGTCGTGATACCTATTGACCCCGCAAGCATCGCCTACGTATCGGTTGTGGCAACAACAGTCTAAGCCGCAAGCATGATTTTATATACAGGTACCTATATATAACGTATGTGAGCTGATATCTCTAATCGTAACTCTGCATAAGTAGCGCAACGGATTTGTGCATTTAATTCGGCTCGAAATCTTGTATCAAGATGTGGTAGGGGGCTGAGGGGAGCTCGTGTTAAACAAGATCCCGTCCCCAGCACCGGTAGCCTATGCTATTTGTTCGAGAAGCTAGAGTATGCAACTCAAAAGGCCCAAGTGCAGTCAAGCAAACCATGTGCCAATCAAACTTAACCGATTCGTTTGCTTGTAGTAACCGGGACAAAGTTCCTCGGATATCTTGGAAGCAGCCAGCCGTTATATCAACAGCTAGTTAGCGGCTTCATCCCGAAGCACAACCAACGTCGCACGCCGCAAACGAGTTCTAATCTTAGTCTTTAACACTGAAGAATGGCGAATAACCTTGTACCTACTATTAGGAAACGTGCGTGTAAGACATTTTGTCGCTGAGAACTGCCCAATAGTCTAATACGAACGACATCACAGCCCTGTTATCTGCAGATTGTCTTAGAATGATAATGATTCTGGCGACGTCGTTGAGCTTTGCGCTACTATGGCAAGCAACTGCTCTCGGCCCATTCAATATAATATCGTCGGTGATCCCAGTAAAGAACCAAGTTATGAAGCATGTTCCGTCGGGATGTCGCATGGATCTAAGGTTGTCCTGGTGTATACAAACGTAGACCCACATGCCCCTTGAAAGTCATCAGCCTTCCATGTTGCCATAGAGCATCGAGCAATGTGTGTCTTCGTAAATGCAGTTATGTAATGGCAAGTTGGAACATATGTAGGTCTATAAAGAGGACATGTTCTCGAATCAGATACGCTTCTATATCCGTCTCTCTAAGATTCTCGCCTACTCAAGGCTTTTACATTCGTTTTGTTTAGTTATCATCTCGAGATCCTCACGATGTATTCATTCACTCGTTTGGCCTTCCTAGGCCTAGGGTATGCTTCTTGATGTTAAGTATTTCGTGTTATATACTAACGTATGCCTTAGAGCTTCTCTTATCAATGCTCTCCCTCAGCAGCCAGAAGCAATAACTGTTACGACCACAGTTACAGTTTGTGATAGTAGCTGTGCTTCCACTGTGACTGTGTCTGCCGGGTGTTCCGAGTCTTCAAATTTACCGTGGTACTCAACTAACACGCTGGGAACATCGTCTACGGCTGCTATTGGATCTTCGTCTTTAGCTTCCTCTTATTCTACCCTTTCTACTACCTCCGTCGATACCACTATAACTCTAACATCAAGCTCCATTGCCACTTTGAGCGAGTCGACAAGTATTCCTCGCAGCTCTCCTACTCTAACATACTCTTCGGGATTTCCTAACACCACCATTGCATCGTCATCTTTGCCCCATAGTGCCGGATCAGTCACGAGCTCAACGGCAAATACTTTGCCAGAGACGTCAAGCAGCACATGGTGAGAAAAAGCATCTAATATTAATTAATCTTGATAACAGAGTAGAACACTGACAGATTATAGCACTGATGAGTTTTCAACTGGAACAGATTCTTCCGATATAAGCACATCAGCTTCTACTCCTGGTGTAAGCACATCATACTCAGTGACAAGTAGTCACGATGTGTCCACATCAAGTACGGGAGAGATATTGCCCACTGGAACAGATTCGACCAGTCCAGCCGTGACCGTTAGCTCTACATCGGAGCCCAGCACGTTGACTGGAGCATTACCAACTTCGACATACCCGGCCGGTTCTTGGTCATCCTCACTGGACTCCACTCTCACTTCCACGACCATCGTTCCAATCCCTTGGACCGCGTCAGATACCTCGACCTCCGGTACTTCTAGCACGGTCCCCCATAGCACGAGTACTGTTAGCGAAATTATCTCTACTTCAGCTTCGTCTGGCATATCATCCTCGATCTTCAGTTCAAACTTTAGCACAGGCTCCTGGACTTGGTCTCACAGCTACACAACCTCTTCCCATTCGTCTTTGAGCACCGAGACAGGTAGTCTTCCTGGCACAACTGATACGTCCAATGGGTCAACTACGACATACTCAGTACCTACACCATCCTCGACAGCAGGATCTATCAGTGTAACAACTAGTTCTGCATACAGCTCCTCGTCTAGCACTGTTGGGACAGATACAATATCCTATTATACTCCTAGCAATTCATTCTCATGGGCGACAACCGTCGTTATAGGCTCTATTACAACCAGTTCAGAAATTTACCCTACTGTTTCCTTAAGCAGCTCAAGCCTCTACTCTAGCCCTGCCATAGGCACCTCGTCAACTGCTGCGGTAACCAGCCCTTCCCCGAATGAATCGGGCTCAATTAGCACCGCATCCTCTTCGACATCTAGAGTAACAAGTAGCTCAAATACTTGGAGTACGATGACATTTAGCTTCCCTGAATCGTCGACTGAAACCGCATCCACTGAGACAGCTTTAACTCCGAGTTCAAGCGCCCCCGTCTCCACTACTTGCCTTGAACAACCAACCTATGGAGGTGGCTACACTTATATCTGCTACACCATCCCCGCGACATCACCAACTCCAACCTACAGCACGGGGGACACAAGCGCAGTCACGGGTTCAATTGTCTCTTCAACTTCTGAGTTTCCGACAAGTGGATATCTCACCAGCTCTTCGGATGAATTTTCAAGCACGTCAAGCCAGCCAGCGCCTGTTCCCTTAAGTTCTATCTCCACCACTGGAAGTACGGACGCTACAACAGCCACCATCTCTTCGAAAGGCAGCACTGAGACATTCCCCACCATTTCTTCGGTTCCCGGCTACCCAACCAGCCTGCCACTCCCCAGCACTAGTACAGTACTCGTGACGCCTCTCCCTCCTAGTTCTACCGGCAGCACTGATGCCGCAACCGCGACCTCGTCTCTGCCTTTAAGTACGTGCATCTCTGGCGGCTACGGTGGCGGCGAGATTTGCTTCCCGATAGGAACGATGGAGCCTGGGGTCACTATTATTCCCGATGGGACGTCTTCTGCCGACGCAGTGACAGCACCGTCGTCAGTCCCTACTACTCTCGTCACCCACCCTCAGTCTACCTCCACCGTCGCAGGATACCCGACCGGAAAACCCGACAAGTATGAAAGCGACGAGGCCATTCGGGAGAGTGAAGACGAGGACAATTGGACTTGGTGGGGCGGTCGCAAGACCCGCGGTCGGCAGGGCAAAGGCGTCGAGCGTCTGCGCCGCAGCTGGCGCATGATCTAATGAATTGCCGTTCTCTCCTTATTCTCTCCTCCATCTCTGTCCCAAACTACCTACCTAACCTTTGGTAACGTAATCATAGGGGTGAGAGGGAAAAGAGAGTATCGTATAAAAAGGGGGGGAGGAGACTAAAATGCATACTTCACTTCTTGTCGCTCATTTATTTCCTTGGATCACTTTACATTTTTCGCTTCTACATACTCTAGAAAGGGGGCTGTTATTTACCATGTGGAGACGGGGAAGATGGCTTGCTTGGCTTGTCTTAATCACGAAGTCAGGGGTGGTGCAATTCGAGATCTTGCTCGCACTATGATATCGATTGAAAATAATTGATATACACTGGATTTTCTTCATATGTGCGCTGTTGAAAATGAAGAGAAGTGTACTTATTACAATGAACTACGAACTGTGAGGGTTTCCCGAGGTATTTGGAACGTACCTAACGTACCAATCGAGCATCTGACAATGGCCTATTCCTTGTTTGGGTGCCGTTCTCGGTCATTTAATTCGTAGAGTATCTTATCATCTCCTTCACTTGGCCGGGAGGGGAATACTTTACATCAGCTGCTTTACATAAGATAGTCGGAGATTGTGTTCATTCATTCCTTGCTCGCTACTCCGAGTTGAAGAGTGGTGAAGAGTTGAAGAGACCTCACATTTTGAATTTGGTGGCAGGCGATTGACCATGCAACCATGCAGTCGAAATGTGGTGTACAGTAACGTTTGAAACTCGAAAACTGCCTATGCAGCTGAGCTGTACGTTGTACTAATCGCGATGCGCGCGTGAACAAATCATGTACGAGAGTCTCTCTGTACGAGATAGATGGATGAAAACTCATCTATCTGACAACCTACGTTATACAGAACCTCGTACAATCGTAGCTGACGCGTAGAAAGTGGATATACGGATACCGACAGCCCTATTTTTCTTTTTCTTTTCAATCCCTTTGCTTTTTTTCTGTAGAAGAAACTCGCGCGTGAGAGGATTTTGCACCGGTCAGTTTCGTGTCGTGTTGGCAGAGAAGCCTTAGGTACTTCTTAGGTATGCAGGCGGAAGCCCAGCCTTCGTTAAGAGTCCCGTGTCGCTCGAAACGCCCCTGGCATATGGTCCACATTTAACCCGAACAGGATAAGCTCTTATCATGTTGTATGCATGTATTGTAAATTGCGGCTGCTCCGGAGCTCTCATTCGTAGCTGCGTGTTTGTTCTCTCTTATCGATTGGCTCCCAGCCCTGGCGATCCATCTTATTATTTCGTTGTATGGACGCGACTTCTCATCAGATTGATCAGATCATATGCACATATAATAGGTAGTGTACCTAACTTTTACTATTGCTTGCCTTTAGGTCATCTCTAAGTAGGTATTTGAGTATATATATAGGTACTTAAAAACTTACATAAATATTAAATAAGTAAGAGTTGGATCTTATATTTTGCTGAGATCTTTTTGTTTTATTCTCTTTATTCCTTCTTTTCGGCCTAGGTGGTATTTTCCCTTGTTCGGGACATCCAGAGTTGCATACAACCCAGCAACCCAGAGAAGGAGTGCGGAGACGCGAGGGAACAGGGATTTATAATTGGGTGAGCGGGATGACAGGGATTATTGAGCTCGACATTGTGTGGAGGAGTTTTTCCCTCGAAATTTGTATGAGAGCCCTGTGACTGGGTTAGAATATGGGTCTGGACCTGGTCTAGTTCAATGTTATGTCCCCATCGTGCCCCCGTCTGGATCGATCGTCACTGTCACGGAACGACTCCTCTTGGCGGAGAGCTACTGCCCTGCGCTGCCTGCGCTGCCTGCGGTAGAAGGCGAGAAGGCGAGAAGGCGTGAAGCAAGCACTGGATGTGGGAAGAAAAAGTGGCAGTGGCATCCAAGGACATGCAGTAACGAAAACGGGCTAATCAGTGTCTCCATTTCTAATGCGATGCCCATGCTGCCATGCTGCCATGCTGCCATGGAAAGTAGGTACGATGTCCACAGTCTTAGTGCGAATCCTCATTGGATATTTACCTGAGGTACAATACAATTCATACAATTCAGTATGCTTGAAGAAGTCATCGTCATCGCATCGGCCCTCACCTGCTCTTTCGCTCGTCTCTCTCTCGTTTCTCGTCTCTCGTCTCTCGTCTCTCGACCCTTCCACCTGAAAGTCCTGCACCCTTCTCTTGTCGTCTCTCTTGCCTGCCCCTTTCACTTTTTTGATTTCTTCGCTGTTTCCTTTCCCCCCTTTTTCCTCATTCTATCTTCTTCCTATTTCCTTGGTGCTATTTTCCCCTTGCATCGCATAAGGTGTAGTTTTCGCATCAACCCGCATCGTCGCATTCACTAGCCCTATAAACATACCCGCCTACCATCATCACCCAGCTTCGAATGTATCGCTAGCTATGATTTAGACTAGAGTTTCGCCCCGATCGGTTCAAACTATTACAGAATTCAGTGTCCGCTCTGAACTAGCCTTGTTGGAGTTTGCATCTCTCAAAGCAGTCTTCTTGCCGATGCGCATATCCTTTGCGACAAAGAACTACTGTAGACAAATACCTACCTATCTACCGTAGCCTCTAAACCTAAATATTCTGGCCGCCCACGTCACGACAACGAGATCCCACCATACTAATAGAACGATCGCACGTTTCCTTCAGCCATCTTCTGGACGTATCTTGGCCAGATTCGCTCATCTATTTGTAACCGAATTTCCTCCGTTTTCTCCGCTGTCGAATCCCAAGGCGTCAGCCTCTTGTCTTACCCCCGTCACGTCGCACCCAAGTTACGATGAGTTAGGAACATAAGACAAGTATAAAATCAGCTACCGGTCCAGCGAAGAAGGAAGTGTGTAAGTGTGTGTGTGTGTGAGAAAGAGAGAGAGAGAGAGAGAGAGAGAGAGTATGTGAATAACGAGCAAGCGAGCAATTGAATGTTGAGAAGATGGCGTCGAATGGGTTTCATGCAACTGTCCTCCACCGCGTAAACGACGATAATCATAGCGACGACGGTAGAGATGGCAATTCGAGTGGCGTTACTCCTACATCGCAACTAGGATCACTATCAAGACCAAGAATAGGGTCTAGCAATAACAATAATACCAGTACCGGTACGGGGATGGGGATGGGAATGGGGATGACATATTCAGATACGCTAGGACCACGTTTCTCCAATTCTACCAATTCTACCAATTCTACCGGCAAAGGCTACGCGAATGACCTGAACCTTGACGCCAATACTAATTCCAATCCCATTACCCACGCAGCCGCAGCCGCAGCCCAGGCTCAAGCTCAAGCTCAAGCGCAAGTACCAACCCACGTAAATCAAGCCGCTCGCGGCCACGGCCACGGCCACACCCACATCCACACCTACAATGGGCACACTGGTGCCGGTTCAAGCAGCAGTACCAGCAACAATAGGAATAGCAATAACACATCTCCGACCGTTACGGCCTCGACAAAACCACTAGATTTTCGTCAGCCCGCCGCCACTACTACTACAACAACTACTACTACAACCAACAATCATAATCCCACCACCACTTCTTCTTCCTCATTCCTCCATTCTCCATCGCCAAAAAACAACTTGTCCGTCGCATCCATCACGACTCCTGCATCGCCTACATCGAGATCGACGACGCGACCGCCACCCACTACAACCACTTCCCTCGCGCATCCCTATAGTAACGCGTCGCATCAATTATCAACTTCTTCATCGACACTGTTGGCGCCCTCATCTTCCTTACCTCCTCTGGCTCCTCCGCCGGGAGCCTTGAGCTCAATTATGGCATCATCGTCTGCCATGTCGTCTACGAATGGTGCAAGTGCATCGCCGCTGCAACCTCCTAAGACCTCAGGCCATCTCTCGCCGCCTGATTACCATCAACCGTCCAGAGAAAAAGCATCAGGGAGTTTTTATGACCCGCTTACCGATACAACCAGGGAGAGGAGAGTGTCCGACAACTGGTCCAAGCAGGTGCAGGTAAGCTTTAAATAAAAAATATTCTACATTCCCACTCTCAATACCCGAACACAACTTTAGAGCTTTTTAAGCATTTTACATTATGTTGGCCGAATGTGTCTTAACATATTTTTGACACCACAAAATCTTAAATATGGGTTATTAGCAACTCAGACCTTCTCTTATATATATTCATTCCAAAGTACCTACATAAGTTTGCTTAGTGGCAGTGCGAGCATCCATAACGTTTTGTTCGGTGTTCGCCCCGGGACAAGGAACATCATCAATCAATTTTTTTTTATTGCAACCAATCTGTCATTAGGAACCATCGACATTTTCCTTAACTAACCTTGGTCACTTTCAGCGATCTGACCCATATGATTTTTCGCAGTCCAAGACGGAATATTACAATGGTTACGGCTCACCTTCGCCTGTGAATGCAAAATATCCACGAAGCCCGCATTCACACTCGCACCCCAAAAACGACGGTCGACCGATTAGCCCTTCCAACAAAGCCCTTAATTTGGGTTCTCCCCCCTCGCGTCACAACCGCACTGCACTAGATTCCATCACATCTACCAATCGCAACATCTCTTCAACACCGGCACCGTCACTGCCATCACTATTAAACCCGGAACCAACATCATCATCAAATGTATGTGATTAGTAACGTTCCTTGGTCTTTATCTAATACTAGCACGCGATAATGATAATGATTGCTGACCTCCCCCTTTTTTTAAGACTCCTAGCCGTGCAGCAGAGCTGATGTCCTTCTCCAACATCCTTTCCAGCGCCGAACCTCTTCCGAAGCCTAGGGCTCCCATCATGACGGAACTTAAGGAGAAGCCAGCTCGCAAGAGCAAAGGACGCGAGTCGATTTTGAAGGACTCTGAAAGTAGTTCTAGAAAAGACTCGCGTCGCGCGTCTGCGAACCACGCGAAGGAAACCCCTTCAAGAGCCCCCAAGAGGCAGGCCAATGGCCAGATCAAGCCGAAGACCCTCTCGGCCGACAAAGAAAAGAAGATCCAGAGTCTGCTTGACCAACTCGATGCCGAGATGGAAGATGTCGACCTATCCGAGCTCGAAGCCGAAGAGGAATTCTTCCACGGACGTTTAAAGAAGCGTAGGTTAGACGTTGAACAGATGGAAGATGATGACCATGTTCGTCGAAGAAGAGACTTAGCTATGTCGCTGTCAAGCAAGTTGAATGAACATGCGAGCTATGGCAGGCGTCGATACGACACGCTCCACTACGATGATGCCTTGCAAGAAGTCCGAGAACGCGAGATTTACGCCGAGAAAGAGCGCAAGAAGGACATGCAACGTAAGCGACGTAGAGAAAAGTCTATGCAGGTCACCATCGAGCAGAAGGAAGCGGCTTTGGCGAAGGCACTTGCTGCCGAAGACGATGCCGAGCGAGCGAAGTGGTTACGAGACGCGGAACGTGCCAATAAAAAGGCGCAGCAAACAAAGCTGATCTTGCAAAAGGGTATAAAGGGTCCGGCACGCAACTTGGCACCGCTTGAGCTAAATCTAGAAGGTGGCACGATGTCGACTTTCCAGGCGACCGATCTCGAGACTGGCTCTAAGAGCAAGAGCAAGGGCCGTAGTGGCAACCGTCCGAAGAAGTCGAAGGAGCAGAAACAGGCAGAGAAGGATTCGGCTATTGCCGCTCAAGCTGCTCTAGATGCGGGCGAAGAGTTGCCTAGCAAAGAAGAGACCAAGATCCGCATAAAGTTAAGCAAGTCGTCGTCCAAGGAGCCCAAAGAGAAGGAGAAGGAATCTAAGGACGCCCCTACTAAGGACCCGAAGGAGAAGGAGAAGTCCGTCGAAGAGCCTCCACTTAACCCTCTCGAAGCCAAGTTTCAATCCAAAGGCTACAACCAGATCTATGATCAGATCTGGCGCGACCTCGCACGCAAAGATGTTCCAAAGACATTTAAGCTGGCGAGCGATTCATATGGCACGAAGGCTTCGAATCTTAAGAAGACTGCTATCTTGGCTTCGAAAGAGGCTAAGCGTTGGCAACTTCGTACCAATAAAGGCACTAAAGACCTCCAGGCTCGTGCAAAGCGTTGTATGCGCGATATGATGGGCTTCTGGAAGCGCAACGAACGCGAGGAGCGCGATCTTCGCAAGGCAGCAGAGCGTCAGGAACTTGAGAATGCTCGTAAAGAGGAAGCCGACCGCGAAGCTGCCCGCCAGAAGAGGAAGCTTAACTTCTTGATCTCCCAGACGGAGTTGTATTCGCACTTTATCGGCAAGAAAATCAAGACGGACGAAGTCGAGCGTAGTACTGATAACCCAGATATCGCGCCGGATGCCAATGCTGCTGCCAAGTCCACTGATGTTGATGTTGGTGAACCATCGGGTTCTGTCGGCAGGAAGGTTACTGATTTTAAGAATCTGAACTTCGACGCTGAGGATGAAGAGACGCTAAGACAAGCAGCCGTGGCAAATGCTCAGAATGCTATTGCAGAGGCACAGGCGAAGGCACGAAGCTTCAATAAGCCCGACAATGACATGGACGAGGACGGCGAAATGAACTTCCAGAATCCAACTGGTCTTGGCGATGTGACGGTCGAGCAGCCTAAGCTGCTGAACTGCCAGCTCAAGGAGTACCAGGTGAAGGGTCTAAACTGGCTTGCCAATCTCTACGAACAAGGCATCAACGGCATTCTGGCAGACGAAATGGGTCTCGGAAAGACGGTTCAATCTATCTCTGTCATGGCCTACCTCGCCGAGGTCCACGATATCTGGGGCCCGTACCTTGTAGTTGCGCCTGCCTCTACTTTACACAACTGGCAGCAGGAGATAGCTAAATTCGTCCCAGAATTCAAGGTTCTCCCGTATTGGGGTACTGCTGGCGACCGAAAAGTGCTCCGCAAGTTCTGGGACCGTAAGCATAACACATACCGTAAAGACGCACCTTTCCACGTCCTCGTTACATCGTATCAGCTTGTCGTCTCGGATGTTTCTTATTTCCAGAAGATGCGTTGGCAATATATGATCCTCGATGAAGCGCAAGCTATCAAGAGCTCTCAAAGCTCGCGTTGGAAGTGCCTGCTTGGGTTCCACTGTCGTAACCGATTACTTCTTACCGGTACTCCGATTCAGAACAACATGCAGGAACTTTGGGCTCTTCTACATTTCATCATGCCTTCTTTGTTTGACTCGCACGACGAATTCAGCGAATGGTTTTCCAAGGATATCGAGTCACACGCCCAGAGCAATACGACGCTTAATGAGGACCAGCTTAGGCGGCTGCATTTGATTCTCAAGCCGTTTATGTTGCGCCGAGTCAAGAAGCATGTACAAAAGGAACTTGGCGACAAGATCGAGCTCGACGTGTTCTGCGAGCTTACTTACCGACAGCGCGCTTACTATAGAAACTTACGGAACCAGATTAGTATCATGGATCTCATTGAGAAAGCGACGCTCGGGGACGATCAGGACTCGGGTACATTGATGAATCTCGTCATGCAGTTCCGAAAAGTTTGTAACCATCCCGACTTGTTCGAGCGTGCTGATACGGCGAGTCCCTTCTTCACTGGTTACTTCGCTGAAACTGCTTCATTTGTACGCGAAGGAAATAACGTCGCGGTTGGTTATTCGACTCGCAATCTTATTGACTACCAGTTGCCGCGCCTTGTTTGGACCGAAGGTGGTCGGTTGTACAAGGCCGGGAAAGACAACGAGAAGGCGGGTTTCAGGAGCAGATACCTAAACCATCTTATGAACATCTGGGCCCCTGAAAACGTACGCGAAAGCACCTCCGGTAGTGACGGGTTTTCCTTCCTTCGATTTGCCGATGCCAGCCCGGAAGACGTCTACAAAGCCAGCCATCAGGATGTATTTTCGCGAGCTGCGGACCTAATTAAGAAACAGAACCGACTTGGCCGTATGAATGTGATCTACGACGAGCCTGGCGAGGATAACTATACCCCTGCCCACGCCCTGTTCCAGATCACGGCACGATCGGATCGGAAACCTCTAGCAGAGATAACGAGCGGGGGTGTGCTCGATAATCTCATGAATGTCTCTCGGGGGACGTGGCGAGATTTGGGTCTAGGCCGGCTTGAGCAAGCAGCTTTGCCCGGTGCTTCCGCTCCGCCTATACAGGTTTCATGCGAGGGTACCCGAGCACCAGTCGTCGAGCGCGAGGATACGCTGTTCAACATGAAAATGCGAAAGATTCTGTATGGACCTAACCAGCCGGAAGAGAAGGCTCTTGTTTTGCGGAATGTCCCAGTCGAACGATACCCGCCACCCGCGATGCTTCCTCAGCCCGATAACGAGAAGCGGCGATTCACAAATATTACCGTCCCTAGCATGCATCGTTTCGTCACCGATAGCGGGAAGCTTGCTAAATTAGATCACCTGTTGTTCAAGCTGAAGGAGGAAGGCCACCGTGTGCTACTATACTTCCAGATGACGAGAATGATTGACCTTATGGAGGAGTACCTCACTTACCGTAACTATAAATACTGCCGCTTAGATGGTTCTACGAAGCTGGAGGATCGTCGTGATACCGTTCATGATTTCCAGACACGCCCTGAAATATTCATCTTTCTACTATCGACTCGTGCTGGTGGTCTGGGTATCAATCTTACGTCTGCCGATACGGTTATTTTCTACGACAGCGATTGGAATCCTACTATTGATTCGCAAGCTATGGATCGTGCACATCGTCTCGGACAGACCAAACAAGTCACCGTTTACCGTCTCATAACCCGTGGGACCATTGAAGAACGTATTCGGAAGCGTGCGATGCAGAAAGAAGAAGTGCAGCGAGTTGTTATCCAAGGAGGCGGCGCTCGGGGTGTTGACTTTAGCGGACGTCGCCCAGCTGAAAATCGCAACCGCGACATTGCTATGTGGCTTGCCGACGACGAACAGGCCGAGCTCATTGAGCAGCGTGAAAAAGAGTTGCTTGAAAGTGGCGAGCTGGATAAAGCAACGAAGAAACGGGGTGGCAACAAACGAAAGCGGGAGGCTGTCAGTCTGGATGAGATGTATCACGAGGGTAAGTCAAGCCGTCTGCCTATATCACTTGAGTTTATCGAAGCGAATCACTAACTGTATCCTTGCAGGCGAGGGTCATTTCGACGATGGTAATAAGCCTTCTGGCACTGCCACTCCAGTGGAAGCCGGAGACGCAAAAGCTGCAAAGAAACGAAAAGGAGGCAGTAAGAAGGCCAAGACGACAAAGCAGCGACTTGCCATTGCTGATGGCGAGATTGATATTTAACCCGGTGTCAAGAATAATTGCTTGACATGAAAATGGGAATAGCGCTTCTTGAAACAGAAGTTTAGGGCCGAGGACCTTGTACAAAATAAGAGGAGTGATACGGCGTTACATTGGCATCGATTTTACGTGCAGGTCAGGCTCTCGGCGGGACGAATACATACAGAGATTCATAGAGCTTTAGTTAATCGTCATTTTTGCAAGGAGAGAAAGGGGGAGGTGGTCTAAAAGTCGTCGTATTAGGAGGTTAGACTTTGCAAACCGGAATACTCTTCCGAACATATCTTCTTTCTTTTTTTGCTGTGGACAATGGCCCGCTGTATCGTTGTAGGATTACGATTAGAAGGGCAGACCTCGTGGAATCTACCATTGTGCACGCACGCCTACTTATTAAGGTGAGGAGCTAAAATGGCAATAATAAATGCGATACTAGAAGCTTTATGCCCGGTCTGTTGCTCAAGTGAAATGCGTAGTAAGGAGTTTATATTTACTAAAATCATGATTGAGGTGGCAATGTCTTTGGGGATGCTTTTCAGGTAGGTATTGAAAAAGTCGGTGGCTGTGGGGTATCGTAGAGACTCGATTGTAAAGGGAGGTGATGTGCTTAACATTGGCTTTATTTCTAAATGGCGGTTCGCGAGTCATGATAGGAGCTGTATGAAGGAGCAATGATGATAAGGGCATATATAAGATTTCCACCACTTAAAAGTGGAGTAGTAGAATCTTTACCAATACAACATTCTACCTCTTAATATTTCAGAGCCTGCTAATTAAATATTTCATTGTCTAGACTTTAACAACGTAAACTATTATATTAGCTTTATACGTTTTGTTCATAACCACTAGTTATCCTTCAAAAATTCTTCAAAAATTACTAGTGTTGGAGTGACAAGGTTCTGTATGTATTGCTTGATTGGTCTGATTAGATTAGGTAAGAAAGTGGGAGATCTACCAAGTAGGAGATTATCTATTTATGTACATGTGTGTGGACCCTGCGTGGGCGGTGTGTGTTGGCACAACCCTAGTCACGTCACGTGGTCAACCGTAGACTATTATCTCAACATCTAGTTCCTCCGCCTTGTCCTCCATGTTAAGTTGTTTCAACCCTTCCATCATTTCGGCTTGGAACTTTTCCGAGCGACCAGGAATATTTGGGACGCATTCGAGGAACGTCTTTGGATCAGGTCGCATTTCAGGGGCTGAATGATACCATATTTTTTCGGCCATCCAATAAGAACAGTTATGTAAAGCAAATTCAAACGCCGAGTACTTTTCTTTCTCATGTGAAGTCTTTGTGTGCTTCTCACTATGGCAAGCCGAATGTCTTGTTGGCGAGAATGGATCAGCACCGTGTTGTAGAAGCACTAAAACAGAGTCAGGGAATGAGTAATAGGGTGAACACTCTTTCAATGCATTGAGTAGGAGTGTTTCCCCATTTTTCGACATGAAATTTACATCTACATTCTTAATGCCCCTCAGGAGCTTGTCAATGGCAGTAGGGTAGAGTGCTTTAATAGCGTAATCTAGCCACTGAGGGTTTTGCTGCCAAATACAGGGTTCAACAAGGTCGAGCAGGTATTTGATAACTGTACAATCGACTCTTCTTTCAAAGGCGTCTGTAATTAGACTAGGTATCTTTTGTGTCGGAAAACCCATGTCTAATATTCTAGCAAGCCACCCGTTGTGTACAAGACGTGCATGGGGTAAAGAACTTAACACAGCCAGGTTTATGTCCTCAGTAGTATGTAGCTTGGCACCTCTGCTCATGAGGATGGTCAGATGTTCAGGGTCAGCAACATGCCTCAGATATTTCGAGTCGGCGACTAACTCTTTTAGAAGGTCGTCAAGATGACTGTGGTTAAGCATGGACTTGACAGCCATGGCTGCCATCCTTTGCATCCGGTGACCGTAGTCGTGACGGAATATCCACGAAAGGAATGAACGCCCATCGGACAAAGGGGTGTCTATTCTGCTACCACTTTTCAGCAATGTTTCCACCTTCTTTACGAAAAGGTATATGCTGCGATGATTATTTGCCATGAAGTCGAAGATATAGTCTCGTTTTAAAGACTCTTCTCCATGCTTATCAGCTTTCATAGCTAGGACACAGGACATCATTTTTGCATCTCCATGTATGATCGCCTCCTCTAACGGCTCGTACCCATAAATGTATCTTTCCGTTAGGTCGGCACCGGCATCGACGAGTCTTTGAAGCATAGACCATTGCATTGAATTCCTGAACATTATGTTCCTCTTGAATTTCGTGTGCATAAGGGTGTGAATAGGATATCTGACTCCCCCCTGTGGGTGGTCTGGTTTAATCTTTGAGCCAGCATCAAGTAACATATTTGCGTGTTGAAATCTCCCATTATAAAGTGTCGTCGTGAGTGGAAGCTTACCATTAACTTCGTTGTTGACGTCGGCTCCGAGGTTTATCAACGTCTCGAGCATTTTGGTATTTTGGTCTAGTATTTGCGCGTACTCCATTGCATAATGCAGGGGAGTATAACCTTCGTAGTCTTTTAAGTCAACGGATATTCCCAGATTTTGTACGAGATATTCTACTACTTTGACCATGTCTCGACAAGCCGCGTAGTGTAGGACCGACCTAAAATTAAGCCGTTCTCCCATGACAAAAGATACATTGGCGCCATGAGATAATAGGAGTATAGCAATATCCTCCATCTTATTGTTGATTGAAACAAGTAATGCTGGACATCCCTCTATCATAGTCCGCTTCCATCTAGGTTGATATCCCGTGAAATCACCCAAGCAAAAATCATAGTCCCACCTGTTTAAAAATTTCTCGGATGTTTCTTGGAGAGGAGTGCCACGGTCCAGCAGCCATGTAACAATCTCGCGGCGACAGTTTTGGCAAGCCATCAGTAGTAGGTGATGCCAAGATTCCGGCTCTAGGCGGAACAAGACTGCAATTTTTAGAGTATCGAGATTTCCGTGCTTCGCTGCATAATTAAATAAAGTGCCGTCCATATGCTTTACGTTGTAGACGTATAGAATGCGATTGATTACTTTATGTAACCACCGATTTACAAGGGATAAGCTTGCCAGATCTTTTTGGCGCAATATGGTACCTGACCTGACTTCCGCCGTTGCGATCATTTGTAGAAGCTCAACTGGAAGATCCATAAGTTTAGCCATGATGATGAATTATTAGAGTAGTTGCCTTTGGGTAATTGAGATGGTGAAAATGGGTAAGAATTTGCAAGGCGTTGGCAAATATATAGAAAACTAGAGGCCGGCTGGATAGGGGGAAGCCGGTGGGATGAGAATGAAATTGTGCGACTCTATTTTATAGAAATGTTTTACCTAATATATGACAAAGGGATTGAACAGGTTTATATATTTTTATAGAGTGATTGTTCTGCTATCGTACATAGACTACAGGTAAACTTATTGCCTGATAAATCTTCCCATTGATAGGGTTAATTGAGAATTCCCTTTGGATGTTTATTCCATAGTTTAATCTAGACGTTATATGAATTTAGAAACTTCAATAAGTCAAAGCACCGTTACTAGGGCCACTTATGTAAAGGTTACTTCGAATTTTTAAACCTTTAAAATAAAGACTTTAACTTTAAATTAATAATATTTAATTAGATTAAATTTAATTAATTTACAATTTATTATATTTTAATGATAATATAATTTTTTATTACCGATTTAACCGATAAAACATTATTTTTAAAATTAACGTTAAAATTGTTAATTATAATTACATTATTTGATTTTTAAGCTTTTAATTGTTCCTTTTTTTTTATAATAACTTTAATATTTATAAACGTTAAATTTAAATCCGGTAATATTTTACGTTATTTTTACGGCTTTACATTTACTAGTGTTTTTTTTAAATAATCGGCGCGGGTTTTTATTATTGTTAATTTTACGGTAATATTATTAAATGTTTTATTAAATTTTTTAAATAAAAGTTTTATTACGGATTTTTTAAACGTTAAATCGATTTTAGTTAATTTATTTATTAAAATATTAAGATTTTATAAATTTAAAAGCGTTTTTAAATGTATAAAAGCCATTTTTTCGATAAAATTAAATGTTTTAAAGTTAAAAATTAAGCTTAAAATTGTTAAGGTAACGCCGGGAACTTTCCGAAATATAAACCGGTAATTTAACGGTTTATTACGATTTTTAAAATAAATACCCGTAACTTTTTAACTAATTAATATATTATTTTTAATTAACCGTTTTTTTTATATTATTTAATAAATTATAATAAATTTTTTTTTATTAAAATTATTATTATAATATAACTGGCATATTTTAGTAAATTTATAATAATAATTTTATTTTATAAATAAAAATATATTTACGTTAATAATTTGTAAAACGTGTAACAAATGCGCCGGGATAAAAATAACGTAAACTTTATTTATAAAACATTTTTAAAAAAATTTTAAAATTATATAATTATTATAACCGTTTAAAATTAATAATTTTTATTATTATTAATTTAACGGTTTTGTTTTTTTTAAAAAGATTTTACGAAATTATTAAAATGTAATATTATTATTAATTTAATTATTAAAAAACGTAATAAATTGTTAACTTTTAAATTTAACGTTTTTATTATTAAAAAATTACTATTATTATACGTTTTTACTTATATATATAATAAAAAAATTTAAAAATCGGTTATTATTATTAACGCATTTAATTAATAACGTTTAAATTTTATTACTATGGTTTTAAACGATAATATATTTTTTATAAACTTTCCCGATAATTATTCCGTTATTTTTAACTTTTTCTATTATTTTTATTTCGTTAACGTTATATATACGATCGGGGAAAATATTAACAATACGGAAAGTTTTAAATTAATTGAAAAAAATATTAATATTATTAATTATAACGTTATTAACGCGTTTATAATTAATTAAATAAACTTTAACCGTTTTTACATTAAAATAACGGGTTATAAATTGTATATGTTAATATATATTAAAAATAATAAATTAACAATTATAAATTAATAACTTTTTAATAATATTTTTAAATTAATATAAAAATAACGCGTGGTTAATACGGTTTAACGTAATAATTTATTTAATTAATTTATTTTTTTAATATTTAAATAATTTTTAACGATTTTTTAAATATTTTTTTCGTATTTTATGGCTTAATATTCGATTTATAAAATAATACCGTAAAATAAAATGTTTTTTAAACGTTTATTATAAAAATATATTTTCAAAAATATCGTTTATTATTATAACACAATATAATTAAATTAAAAAAGTAAACATTTTAAAATCGTTAAAAAATAAAAAATTAAATGATAAGTTTTATTTTTTAATTAATTTAAAATTGGTTTAATTATATAATAATTCATATGTAAACTTTATCGCGAACGCGTCGCGTTTTTAAAATGGCTTTTACACGGGTGGCCCCAGTGACGGTGCTTTGACTTACCAGAGTAGAAGGAGATGAAAAAAAAAAAGGGTCACGGAAATGACGAGAATGCACGGCTGCATTGTTCAATATAGCATCAAAAAAAAATGACCACCCTGGGGCTCGAACCCAGAATCTCCTGATAACTGTCAAGCATATTTTATCATGCTCGATCGTAGTCAGACGCCTTACCATTGGGCCAAGCGGCCTTTAGTGCTTGTTGAAAATTTGTTTGCCATTGGCATACATATAGGCAGTAATTAGCGTGAGGGGAAATCTCATGGGAACAGCGCGTCTTCACATGGACAGGCCAATTTCCGAACCATAGAAGATATCAACATGTAGAATTTTAAGAGTCGTAGTAAAATATGGCGCTTCGCTAGCTACCTATTATTTATAATACCATAACAGCAATAATAATATTGGTGGCAATAGTAACCGCAGCTTATCATTTACAAGGTACATACAACATCATACTAGATCACATTTATATATCAGTCACATATCTAAGGCAGAATTTTTTTAAATTCATCTAGTCTATTCCTATGTGCGAAATTACGGCGCATATTCGCGCCGGCTCTCCGCGGTTCCTGAAAGCCCCTTTTGAAAGCAAAGCTTTTTGATTCAAGGCTGTTGCGGCTCCATGCCTCGTTGCCCAATCTATAGACCTCCGAGCCGCGACCTTGTATGTACGTATGCGCTCTCCTTTTCCGTACCACCTTTATAGTACGATCATCACTCGTAAACGAGAGCATCTCTGCATAATTAACCGGGCTAAATGAGCATCGTGGAAAATGGTACGTCTTAAACTGCACCGGCAGCCAACATCTTCTTGCGCAGATAGTTCTTGTACTCTCCTATCGAACCGTCCCACGGCTTGATCGATCGGTTTTCACACACTAAGATTTGCTTTGCAATCTTGTCGAGCAATCTATTATACGCGTTAGCAATTGTTAATATGCATTAGAATTAAGGGTGATTCTTACCTGAAGTCGTGAGAAACGACAATTACACCACCGCTATATGCGTCGATAGCGTCTGCTAAAGCATCGATCGAGGGGATATCTAGACCGTTTGTAGGTTCGTCAAGGAGAAGCATGTTTGGCGAATCAATAGCAAGCAGAGCGAAGACGATTCGACTCTTTTGACCTTCGGATAGCGTACCCATCAGCGCGGTTTGAACGGGACCAGAGACTCCGTATCTACCAAGGCATTGTCGCCAGTATTGGTAGTCCTGCGATTTGTCACGGTACCTGTCACGGACAAAGTCCAGAGCACTCTTGGTTAAGTCAAGCTGCTCGGCGCTGTGTTGAGAGTACAAGCCGAGCTTCAGATGAGTGTGGCGACGGACGGATCCACTGGTCGGAGAGAGCTTTCCGGTCATTAGACGTAACAGTGTACTCTTTCCGACACCGTTGGGGCCGACAAGGGCTGTTCGGGAGTCCATGTCGAAACCGAGATCGATGTTGCGGTACAGGTCGTCCTTGGCTTCACCCGAGTACGAAAACGTGACATCGTCAAACGACAAGACAGGAGGGGGTAGCTTGTCGACATCTGTGAATCTGAACTTGAATTCTCTCTCTTCTTTGACTTCCTCGATGAGGCCATCGGCAATCATCTTGTCGAGAATCTTCTGTCGGGACTTGGCCTGTCGCACCAAGTTGGCGTAGGTACCTGCGCTGGCGATGAACTCCTTGATGTGCTTGATCTCCTCCTGCTGCTTCTTGTAGGCCGTCATCTGATTGGTCTCTTGTTCCTTGCGGGTCTTGACGTAAGAGTCAAAGTTACCACCGTAGTACATGAGCTGCTGCTTTCGCATGTCAATCACTGTGGTACACACTCCATTCAAGAAATCCTGAGAGTGAGAGACGAGAATCAATGTACGTTCCCACTTCTTCAGATATTCTTCAAGCCACACGCACGCTTCAAGATCCAAATGCGCTGTCGGGTCATCAAGAAGTAATAAGGTAGGCTTAACGAAGAGCGCCTTAGCAAGGGCAACACGCATACGCCAACCACCAGACATGTCCTTCGTCTTCTTGTGAATGGTCTCCTTGTTAAATCCAAGACCCGTCAGGATAAGGGAGGCTCGGGTGGCGAAGGTGGAGGGATCCATCTTATCCATGTGCTGTTGTGTTCTGTTAGCATGAATTAACCGAATCGTATAAGGGGTATGCATACCTCGTAGATATCCATCAGCACAGGGCTGTCGGGGCCCTCATCCTCAAGCAGCTGTTCTGCTAGTTTGTCTAGACGATCCATCTCCTTTTCAGCTTCCTTGAGAACCCATTCAAGAGCACCTAAGTCAGAGGGCGGTGCACCCTCATTAAGGAGGTAAATGTCGACGTGGTCGGGAATGGGGTATTCTCGCGCAGCAATAGCCTTAAGTAGGGTACTCTTTCCGCAACCGTTCTCGCCCAGCAATCCGTATCGACGTCCGAATGAGAGTTCAAGGTTGGTTTCGTTGAGGAGGACACGGCCGTGGAAGGTTAAACTGGCGCTGATGATCTTCACGTCTCTGCTGGTGACCACGGATGCGAGGACACCAGTGGTGATACGATCGGAGAGGCCATGCTTGTCCTTTTGATTAGAAAGTGCCTTGACCTTCTCCATCTTAGCATCGTCGGTCGCGGGGACATCGTCGAGATCAGGAGGGTCATCGCCGGCGACGGAGCCAGCAGCGCTGGTGCTTTGGGATGCAGCCTTGGAACCGGCCTTAGATCTGGAGACAAGAGTCTTCTTCTCACCCTTGCCATCGGCTGCCTTCTTGGCGAGTCTCTTTTCCTTGGATGCGGAAACCATCTTGAATATTGGATTTTGTTA